GTTGGTAGTGCAGGCCACGTGCCCAAGGATGAAAAGGAAGCAAGAGCCAGAACCGCCTGGCCTTAATACGGGGAGCAAGAGCTTGGTAAGGAGGGGGCTTGAAGACTGGATATGATACCAGGATGGCGATAGCTGCCGTGATCAACACGATGATCCACCACTCACTTGAGGTTTCCTTCTGGTCCTCCGTCACAGCTTCCACTCTCCCAAGCAGACTGGCTGCTGCCACCAACAGTCCCATGCCCCTAGTGAAGCTTGTTCTTCAGCTCAATCTTCTTGATCACCGCCTCCTGATGGTCACCCATCGGTGTCATGTTCAGGGCTTTCTTGAAGTTCCTCTGGGATTGGCCTGTCAACTGCTTGGTCATCCCATCGGCCACCAACTCCGTCCCGGCAACGTGGCTCAGTGACACCTCCCTGGCCCTCAGTGCCTCCGTCAACCCTGCAGCCCTGATCCGAAGATGCCTCGTCCTCCACGATGAGGTTTTTCCTGCTGCTATGGCTATCGCGGCCGTAGAGTCCGAGTTGAGTCTCAACGCCGCTTTCCACCCGAACACTGCCTCCACCAGCGCTCCCACTGACCTGGCCATGATCAAACTCTCCAAGAGCGCCATGAGCTCTGCCTCTGCTGCGTGACAAATGCCTGTCTTGAGGTCTGCCACATGATTGGGGTTCCATCGACGCTGGTCATGAGGCGTCTGAGTACACGTCCACCCCCTTGAACTTCTCCTGAGCCGTCTCTCCTTCTCGAGGTCCTCCAATGAGCAGCCCCTCATCTCTAGTCTCCCTCAAGTAGGCCCGAACCTGCTTGCCAATAGCAGCCACTCCCTTTGGCCTCTTCGTTGACCACTGGCACATCAAGTTGACTGCCAGGCTGATGTCCGGCCTAGTTCTGCCTGCGACCCACAGTAGCTCGCCCGTCTCCTTCTCTGCCCGAGCGACATCTTCCGGGCTTTGATCTGGCCCAATGCTGGTTTTCCGGTCTCCTCGTACTCCAGGAAGAGGTTCTCCAGGCAGGCTCTCTGGTGCACCACGAAGTCCCTTCCCTTTCTCTGATCC